ATTTTTATGATAAATTTTGATTTGTAAATATAATAATAGTTAATAGATAAAAAAAATATAAACTCAAAACTAAAATAATACTAAATGAGGCCTTAATTTTTAATTTAAGGTGTTTCAAATTAGTTGTAAGACTTTTCATTTTAGAGATATTATTAAATTTTTTATTCTTACTTTACTGATATTTTAAAAAATAATTACAACATATGTTATAATGTAGATAAATATAAAATTTTCTTAATTAATTATTACATTCTTCTTTTGTTGGAGAAAGAAATAAGCCACCTAAAGTTGAACGAGTATTTTACTTTAATTTTTAAGGTATACCAATTGTTTTTTTTTTTTTTTTTTTTTAAGTTGAAAGGTATAACCATTGTATGATAGGTTGGCACATCCATAAAACTGATATATTTTTTAATATATTAGTAGAAGTTAAGTGTTTGGCATTCAAGAGATTAGAATTCCCATATTGACCGAAGTTTAAAATTTAAAATTATTGTGTATTAAATTAACTAGGAACACATATAATTATGTACCAATTCTTGCAATTATAAATAAACAGGAAAAAGTGATGTTAAATAATAAATAGAAAAAGTCATACCTTATTAACATATACACATGAAAGTTTTGAGCCTTTGTTTTACATACTAGATTTGAGAGCTCGCCGCATGTAATAGTTAGTTCTGAATGTGCAAAACTTTGTTAAAGTTTTATTCTTTTGATCAACCAAATTTGTTAAAGTTTTATTGATTTAGTTATATCATTTACCATATATACACATCTTTCATTTTAGCACCGTATATTATTATTTTTATTTTTATATATAAGGTGATAGTTGTTCCGATATTACAAGCGACGAGATGTAAAAAATTAGAATATTTTAATATTCAAAATATTAAAACATCTAATTAAAACTACATTATGAGTAAAGTATAATGTACACTTAAGTTTCATTTATTATATGGTTGAAATTTAACGTTTTGATTATTTTTTATGTCAACATATCTTAATTTTACTCTTTTTTTTTACCTTAAATTAATATTTTTAATGAGTATTTATTTAACTAAACTCTTGTTATTTTTTTTTTATGAAAAACTCTTCTTAGTTTGTTAGTTAATAATGCTTACATCATTTTTCTTTTGCTTTTTTTTTTTTTGAAACAAAGAAAAGTCTTCTTCTCCAAATTTCATTTTTTTATCTTTCTTAGCAGTTAAAGTATCTCTAAAATTAATTTATACGTATTTCAAAATTAATTCTATTTTAGTTTAGTTATTTGTAAATCATACATGTTAATACCAAAAAATTTACAAAAATTATCTTCTTATGAACTTTTCTTAAATCAAACCATAACCAATAAAATAGATACCAAACGCCGTTATCAATTAATTTACGGCTCTTTGCTACAACGAACGATTTTCTTCTCAAGTTAAATATTGTTTTAGCCAACCCGTTCAAGGCGAGCCTGTGACGCGGTCGCCTAACCCCCATTGGTCGGTGAAGGGAAACGTGATGCGTTGTCAAGCCAGCATTGGACCGTTGCGCACATCATTGTACGGTGATGTCTGACATGTAAATTTATTTATTTATTATTTTTTTTGGTGTTTACTGTTCATTCACTTTATTCATTTGTATTTTTCTGTTCTGCTATTCTTTTTCCATCTTCAATATTACCAAAACAAGTTGAAAAGATGATTTAAAATGCCTTTAATAAGCTATGGATTTTTTCTTTTCTGTCTTTCTGTGTGGAAAGATAAAAGCGGATTTAAGAAACTGAGGATTTTTGTGGTTTGAGTGTAAAGAGAGTGCCATATCAAAGATCAATAGCTCCTGTGTTTCTGCTTATATTTCTAGGTTTTCTGAACATCTCCCTTTTTTGATTCCTCCCTTTATTTCCAAGAATTTTCTAGGGTTGTTGCTGTTTGATTTCCTAGAAAATTTTGGATTGTTTTAATGTTTTTCCTCCTTCCTTTGCACCTGAAAAGATGAAACTTTTTTATGGGATTATGGGCTGCTATTATTAATTTCTTCTAAATTTATTTTTTCTGCAGAAAGGCTGAAACTTGTTTTGTTTCCCAGAGAATTTAGGCAATTTTCTTTCTGGGGATTTCTTCTTTTCTCTTTCCTTTGAGCTTTTAAGACCTTCCTCATGGGCTGCCATAATTAATATTTTCAAAATTTGTAATTTTTATTTACAAATGTTGAAACTGTAGCAATAGCTACACACTGCGTAGCTACTCAATAAATATCTGGGGACTTTGCTCAATTTTGGTGAGTATTTGGGTCATTTTTTTCTTTAAAAAAAAGGAAAAAAAATTTGATTCTCCAGTAAAGTTACTGATTGACGTGGCTCTGGTGTTGAAGTAAGAAGATGGTGAGAGTGAACGATCTGAAAAAAAAAAAAAAAGATAGTGAGAGGAAAAATTGTGATGAAAAAGATCAAGAATGCAGCAACCAGACTAGTGGCCTTCTCCAAGCGTCCAAACGGGCTGCTTAAGAAGGCTTTTGAGCAATCTTTTCTCTGTGATGTCGATGTTGCAGTTATATCTTCTCACAAAAAGGAAAACTTTATGAGTTCTCAAGCTCCGAGTACGTTCTTTTTAATTAGACTAACAGAGTTCTTCAATTGATTATTTCTTTGTACCATATATGCTTTTCATTTAACTGATTTTGCAAATCTGATCCATAAATTTTACAGATATGCTTATATGTGAATCTGTACTTCCTCCGTTCCACTAGGAAATCTTATTATTGGCATTGTTTTTTTCTTTTTTTTTTTCCCTATTTATCCTTGAGTTCATTTCTTTGGATGAAATATCAAGAATGACTCTCATGATATGCTTTGCTGCTGGAACAAATCCATTTGGGTGCATTTAGCCTTTCTCAAACTTTCTATTAGGGTTTCCAAAAGCTTTGCTGCTAGAAACTTGAAACTGTAATTCTAGTTTTTAGCTAGCCACCATTTCAATTTACATGTTAATTATTAGATATTAAATATCAAGCAAGTTTTGTCCTTTTTAGAAAGTCATTAATACAGACACCTGGTTTTAACACACTCCATAATACTTTCATTAAAAAATTATTATTTTTCAATTTAAAATTAAAGGTGAAAAAACTTAAATATGCAATTATGCAAATGGTATGAGGGAACTTGTTGATCCGGCTATATCTATATTATATTTTAATAATTGAATTGGCTTTGTCTCAGCTTTTGTGTTGAACCAAAGGGTGTTTGAATGGTTAATATACCTTCCAATTCAACACATTTACCGAAACTCACTGGTTCAACCACTAATTTTGCAATTTTAAGTTTTTCTACCCTTAATTCCAATCTAAAAAATAATAATTTTTTAAAAAATATATTATAAAGTGTATTAAACCATAAAATGTTTGTATGAGCATCATTTCTTTTTATATTATGTAGTGTATAATATCACATGTACTTTAGAAATTGTGTTAAACCCTCCAATCCTCACTATAAAAGTTTGAGGCTGCATAAAGTAGTTATGAAATCATTAATTTCTTGCAGGATATATCCTATAGACTTGAGTCTATGGATTTCGTTGGTGCATGACTAATTAAAATAAATGTTGCCCGTGTATTTGAAGGAGTCTGTGAATGTATGTCTTCATGAGGCACAGAAATCTACCTTACTTTCTTAGCTACACGCTCTTGATTAGGGTTATTAGATTTTTATTCTTTATAGTCAATTTGTCATCACTAAGCATTTACTTTTCAAGGGCTATGTAGATATTTATATTTTTCTCTTTTCTATTATATATTTATGAGTTGGAATTTGGTTACACAAAATTCTTACACAATAATCATTTGTCTTTACTTTATGAATAGTTGAGATTTATCCACTTTTTATCATATTTTCAAAGATAATTGTCTTTTTTTTTTAAAAAAAAGTTGTAATAAATCTCCACCATTCATAATGGAGAAATGAATAGTCAAGATTTTAGGTAATTAATGTGTATAAGAGTTATGTGAAGTAGGATCCTAACTCTATTTATATAATCTTTTGTTTTTGAGTGTTTAATTCATATATGTGATCAAATTATGTGTTCATGCTAGTGGTGAGTGGCATTGGAATGATATAATCACTCAATAATACTATTAGCAGGA